TAAATTTTTAATATATATATATATATATATATATATATATATATATATATATATTTCTTTTATGATGTGTGAACACTAAGTCATCTTTGTTTATGTTATTTCTTAACAAATCGAAAGGAATAAGAAAGCTTCTTCGATATTCTGAAAAATAAAGTTAGACATGAAACACATAGAATGGGGGTTGAATATGTGTGTGTGTGTAAGAAGGAATTTTAAACTATTTTCGCAAGAATAATGTTCTTCGTCCAATGCATTTTTAGATACTAAACGGTTATGCAGAGTTTTCTTAACACAAGGTCATTGTGTCTAAAAGATTTATCGTCTGCTGAGGAAAATGGTTTATAATAATAATTAAAGTTCTTGCATTTTCCTTTTCAAGATAGTTTCATTTAAGGATAAGTAGTAGATAAAATTTTTCAGTGTAATATATTTGTTAAACAAAATTTGCATATTCGTCTGAAAAATGGTTTTAATGACGAATAGATAGTAGACGAAGTTTTTAACATGATTTGTCAATTAAGAAGAGTTTGCGTCTGAAATATAAATAAAACAATGCAATCATTTTTATACTAGTTTCGCTCGACTGAGCTACGTCCAGTCTCCTTCAACTGAAGGGTTCCACTAGATATGAAATGAAGTACAATAAGTATTATAGACCACCCAGGTCATGACTACTCTTGTTCACGAGTATTCTAGACCACCCAGGTCACGACCACTCTTGGTCACGAGTATTCTCAACCACTCCTGGTAGGCTAGCTTCACTTAATAGCTTTAGTATTCTTAAACCACTTCTAGTTCCCCAAGTATTCTCGACCACTCCTGGCCTGCTAGCTTCACTCACCAGTGCTAGTATATTTTTATCAGCCACTTCTGGCTAGTAGTGAGTATTATAGACGACCCAGGTCAGAACCACTCCTAGTCCAAGTATTCTCGACCATTCCTGGCCTGCCAGCTTCACTCACCAGCGCTAGTATTCTTTAATCAACCTCTTTAGGCTCGTAGTGAGTATTGTTTGACTAGCCTCTCTAGGCTTTACAAGTATTTTTTCCCTAGCCTCTTCAGGCTTTGCAGATGATAGACATATAATCAGGTTTGAGTGCTTGGGTTACTCTCACAAAGAGGATACATATGTGATCTACACTCTCTAAGGTTTCTTTCCTAAGATACACTCGGAACACCTTAGACTACAAAGATGAATACAATGGTACACTGTAGGTTTGACTATGAGGAATCGATCTCTAATTGCTCTATTTTTCTTTTGGGTTTGATACTACTTTTGGTGCTTAATGCTCAGAGCCCAGGGTAATGCCTATAGTTATTCTTTCACTGCTTCTTGCCAACCTTTCTTCGTTTGATGTTATTGCATACTTATAGGCCTGTAAAATTTTCCCGTTGCATATGTCCGTTGAAGTTGATATATTCGTTCATGACTAGTTTGATCCTTTCATTTAATGCATTTGATCTTGCATTAAAAGTTGCTTCCTATTTTTAGACATTGCATGTATTCTTCTCTGTCCTGTTGGCAGTAGTGTTTGACTTTATCTGATACCTAGGAATTGTTTTGTCTTTTTATGGTCATGCAGCAATATAGTTGTTGTCCTTATCATAAAAAGTAATGCACTTTTCTAACACATGCATGCTTTTGCTTTTGTTTTTGCGTGCTTCTCTTCTTCTTCATTTCTTCATTTAGATCAAGTGTTTTATGTTGAGAGCTTTCGTGTGATCGTAGACGATGCCTTGGTTTGTCTCTTGAGACTTGATTCTTTAATTGCTTGCATGGCAGTCTTCATCTTCGTCTGTTGGTTCTGTGCATCTCAATCTTGACCTTCGTCTCAACATCTAAGTTTAATACTTTGACTTTTCTTTGATCTGGTCAACAATGTGAATAGACAGACATTGTTTCTGTCTAGAGTGTCTTTTCTTCTGTGTTGTCCTTCATCTGATGCATAATTGACTTTCTTTTTATCGTTGTCTCATGTTTGGTCCATTTCTTCATGTTGCACTGGAGAGGTTATTCTTGACACACATCCACCTGATATTGGATTCATAGTCGTCTGGTGCACATATTGTACTTTGTCTATTCAATTAGCTTGAATTGTCTGGTTCTCATGATGTTCCTTGCCTTAACTGTTCTTTTAATAGAGTTGATATCTGGCTTCATCTGATGTTCGCCACAGCTTTTCTTGTTCCCGGTTTGGTCTCGCTTTGGCTTCTGATACTCAATGTCTCTTTCTAGTAGTAGTCCTCATCTGGTGTTTATTGAATGTTATTTCGTTCGTGAGAAGACCTAGTTTTGATGCTTGACTAGCCATCATCTGATTT